TAGATGGATACATGTTAAACCTACTGTATTAGAAATACGAGTTTATTTAATATTTAATTTGTATCTATTGTATTTGCCTTATGGTTTGTAATTTGCTTCTTTATTTTTATATAAAAAAAATAATTTTGTACGTGTGTGTGTAACAAGCCGACAGGGACGAGAGACGTGCGGATCCATTTGCAAAGCTTTATTCATTAGAATGGTCAGAAACAGGCGAGGGTCAGACATTGGCAACAGGTATATTGAGGGCAAGACACAAGAGTAATCCGATAAACAGGCGTAGGTCGATCAACGGCGAACATAATCCAAAGGGCTTGACAAGAGGGGTAATACAATAAAAATGAGCAATAGTCCAGGCGAGGTGCAAACACAGTCCAAAAGAAGCAAGGCAAAGGGCTAATCCAAGATACACAGGCAGAAGATCAGTAAACAGGCGAGGCAAGACTTTGACTAGAATAAGGAAACTAGAACTAGAAACTTAAACAAGGACAAGGAACTGGCTCCGTAAAGTAGCTACGCTAAACAGCATAAATGCTTAAACAATACTCGGCCCTTTGAGAAGGATCAGAGTAGGTGTAATATAGTGTGTGTGTGATTGGTTACAGCTGTGTGCAATCAGTGCAATGGATGATGGGAAATGAAGTCCAGAGTGACATGCAACAGTCTGTGTAATGTGAAAGTCAATATATTGGGAGGGCAACCTCTGGTGGCAAGTGGCTGGAAGTCCATGGACAGGATTCGTAACACTGACAGAGGAACTGTTCACTAGTGATGTCGAGCTGCCTACAGATCACTCTTTACCTTGGTAAAACAATTAACTTTATTTAAAATATCTCAAGTCTTACTACTTCTTTTGTTATGTGATAAATCATACCGGAATGTATGCTAAAATCTTTGAACGTGGTGCCCTACCTAGAAAATTTTTCACCAGCCGCCACTGGTGGCCACTATATTGTCTACAATCTGCATGTCATGTGCAGGGCAGGTACATTTCTTTTTAGCATTTGTGCACTCCGCAGCTGCCGTGGAACTGTAGTGTAAATTTTATTTATTTAAATAAACTACGTGCATTGCCGTGCCAACTTTATTCTTTTACAGGTGCTGCAGCAAGCCTGAAGTGTTTTTGTTGCTTCATGAAAAAGTCTGTATTTGACAAATATTTCATTTTATTCACTTAATCTGCAATAAAGTATGCAAACACTGTGCATCACTACGGGAAGCAGAAAGTGTCCGACTTCAGCTACGCCCACAATTCCGCCCACGACTGCAAGCTACAACTCTCGCCAATCGGTCTGCGCAGCTTCGCATGATGTTGAACACACTGCCGTTCCCAGCATGAGAGAGAGACAGCGCTAGCATGAGTGCTTCCCTGACCAGGACCGCTACCATTAGCGCTTCCCTGACCAGGACCGCTTTCCTGACCAGGACTGCTACCATTAGCGCTTCCCTGACCGCCGTCACCGCTTCCCTGACTGCAGTCACCGCTTCCCTGACCAGGACCGCTTCCCTGACCGCAGTCACCGCTTCCCTGAGTGCTTCCCTGACCAGGACCGCTACCATGAGCACTTCCCTGACCATGACCGCTACCATGAGCGCTTCCCTGACCAGGACCACTACCATGAGCGCTTCCCTGACCAGGACCGCTTCCCTGACCATGACCGCTACCATGAGCGCTTCCCTGACGGCTTCCCTGACCACTACCACGAGCGCTTCCCTGACCACTACCATGAGCGCTTCCCTGACGGCTTCCCTGACAGCTTCCCTGACCATGACCGCTTCCCTGAGCGATTCCCTGACCAGGACCGCTACCATGAGCGCTTACCTGACCATGACCGCTTCCCTGAGCGCTTCCCTGACCAGGACCGCTACCATGAGCGCTTCCCTGACCAGGACCGCTACCATGAGCGCTTACCTGACCATGACCGCTTCCCTGACCATAACCGCTACCATGAGCGCTTCCCTGACCATGACCGCTCCCCTGACCATGACCGCTTTCCTGACAATGACCATGACCGCTTCCCTGACCATGACCATGACCGCTTCCCTGACCATGACCATAACCGCTTCCCTGACCATAACCGCTTCACTGACCATAACCGCTTCCCTGACCACTTCCCTGACCATGACCGCTTCCCTGACCCCGATCGCTTCCCTGACCATAACCGCTTCCATGACTGCTTCCCGGACCCTGACTGCTTCCACAACCGCTTCCTTGACCCTGACCGCTTCCATAACCGCTTCCCTGACCATAACCGCTTCACTGACCATAACCGCTTCACTGACCACTTCCCTGACCATGACCGCTTCCCTGACCCCGATCGCTTCCCTGACCATAACCGTTTCCCTGACCATATCCACTTCCTTGACCATAACCGCTTCCTTGACCCCTTCCCTGACCATATCCACTTCCATGACCATCACCGCTTCCCTGACCCTGACCGCTTCATAACCGCTTCCCAGACCCTGACTGCTTCCATAACCGCTTCCCTGGCTTCCCGGACCGCCAACGCTTCCCTGATCGCTTCCCGGACCGCCAACGCTTCCCTGATCGCTTCCCAGACCACTTCCCAGACCGCCAACGCTTCCTGGACCGTCAATGCTTCCCGGACCGCTTCCCGGACCACCAATGCTTCCCTGCTCGCTTCCCAGACCACTTCCCAGTCCGCCAACGCTTCCCGGACCGTCACCGCTTCCCGGACCGCTTCCCGGACCGTCACCGCTTCCCGGACCGTCACCGCTTCCCTGACCGCTTCCATAACCGCTTCCCTGACCCTGACCGCTTCCATGACCGCTTCCCTGGCCCCGACCGCTTCCCTGGCCATAACCGCTTCCATGACCGCTTCCCTGGCCCCGACCGCTTCCCTGGCCATAACCGCTTCCATGACCGCTTCCCTGGCCCCGACCGCTTCCCTGGCCATAACCGCTTCCATGACCGCTTCCCTGGCCCCGACCGCTTCCCTGGCCATAACCGCTTCCATGACCGCTTCCCTGGCCCCGACCGCTTCCCTGGCCATAACCGCTTCCATGACCGCTTCCCTGGCCCCGACCGCTTCCCTGGCCATAACCGCTTCCATGACCGCTTCCCTGGCCCCGACCGCTTCCCTGGCCATAACCGCTTCCATGACCGCTTCCCTGGCCCCGACCGCTTCCCTGGCCATAACCGCTTCCATGACCGCTTCCCTGGCCCCGACCGCTTCCCTGGCCATAACCGCTTCCATGACCGCTTCCCTGGCCCCGACCGCTTCCCTGGCCATAACCGCTTCCATGACCGCTTCCCTGGCCCCGACCGCTTCCCTGGCCATAACCGCTTCCATGACCGCTTCCCTGGCCCCGACCGCTTCCCTGGCCATAACCGCTTCCATGACCGCTTCCCTGGCCCCGACCGCTTCCCTGGCCATAACCGCTTCCATGACCGCTTCCCTGGCCCCGACCGCTTCCCTGGCCATAACCGCTTCCATGACCGCTTCCCTGGCCCCGACCGCTTCCCTGGCCATAACCGCTTCCATGACCGCTTCCCTGGCCCCGACCGCTTCCCTGGCCATAACCGCTTCCATGACCGCTTCCCTGGCCCCGACCGCTTCCCTGGCCATAACCGCTTCCATGACCGCTTCCCTGGCCCCGACCGCTTCCCTGGCCATAACCGCTTCCATGACCGCTTCCCTGGCCCCGACCGCTTCCCTGGCCATAACCGCTTCCATGACCGCTTCCCTGGCCCCGACCGCTTCCCTGGCCATAACCGCTTCCATGACCGCTTCCCTGGCCCCGACCGCTTCCCTGGCCATAACCGCTTCCATGACCGCTTCCCTGGCCCCGACCGCTTCCCTGGCCATAACCGCTTCCATGACCGCTTCCCTGGCCCCGACCGCTTCCCTGGCCATAACCGCTTCCATGACCGCTTCCCTGGCCCCGACCGCTTCCCTGGCCATAACCGCTTCCATGACCGCTTCCCTGGCCCCGACCGCTTCCCTGGCCATAACCGCTTCCATGACCGCTTCCCTGGCCCCGACCGCTTCCCTGGCCATAACCGCTTCCATGACCGCTTCCCTGGCCCCGACCGCTTCCCTGGCCATAACCGCTTCCATGACCGCTTCCCTGGCCCCGACCGCTTCCCTGGCCATAACCGCTTCCATGACCGCTTCCCTGGCCCCGACCGCTTCCCTGGCCATAACCGCTTCCATGACCGCTTCCCTGGCCCCGACCGCTTCCCTGGCCATAACCGCTTCCATGACCGCTTCCCTGGCCCCGACCGCTTCCCTGGCCATAACCGCTTCCATGACCGCTTCCCTGGCCCCGACCGCTTCCCTGGCCATAACCGCTTCCATGACCGCTTCCCTGGCCCCGACCGCTTCCCTGGCCATAACCGCTTCCATGACCGCTTCCCTGGCCCCGACCGCTTCCCTGGCCATAACCGCTTCCATGACCGCTTCCCTGGCCCCGACCGCTTCCCTGGCCATAACCGCTTCCATGACCGCTTCCCTGGCCCCGACCGCTTCCCTGGCCATAACCGCTTCCATGACCGCTTCCCTGGCCCCGACCGCTTCCCTGGCCATAACCGCTTCCATGACCGCTTCCCTGGCCCCGACCGCTTCCCTGGCCATAACCGCTTCCATGACCGCTTCCCTGGCCCCGACCGCTTCCCTGGCCATAACCGCTTCCCTGACCCTGACCGCTTCCCTGACCCCTTCCATAACCTCTTCCCTGTCCCCGACCATGACCGCTTCCATACCCGCTTCTCTGACCATAACTGCTTGCCTGACCCCTTCCATGACCATGACCGCTTCCCTGACCATGACTGTTTCCCAGACCCTGATCGCTTCCATGACCGCTTCCCTGACCCTGACCGTTTTCCAGACCCTGATCGCTTCCATGACCGCTTCCCTGACCCTGATCGCTTCCATGACCGCTTCCCTGACCATGACCATTTCCCAGACAGCTTCCATGACCGCTTCCCTGACCATGCCAGTTTCTCAGACCCTGACCGCTTCCCTGACCATGACCATTTCCCAGACCGCTTCCATGACCGCTTCCCTGACCATGCCAGTTTCTCAGACCCTGACCGCTTCCATGACCGTTTCCCAAACCCTGACCGCGTCCCTGGCCATGACCACTTCCTTGACCATCACCGCTTCCCTGACCGCTTCCATGACCATCACCGCTTCCCTGACCGTTTCCCAGACCGCTTCCATGATCACTTCCCGGACCATGAAAGCTTCCATGACCGTTTCCCAGACCCTGACCGCTTCCCTGACCATAACCACTTCCCTGACCCCGACCATGACCGCTTCCCTGACTATGACCGCTTCCCTGACCATGACCGCTTCCCTGACCATGACCGCTTCCATGTCCGCTTCCCTGGCCATAACCGATTCCCTGACCCTGGCCATGACCGCTTCCCTGACCATAACCGCTCCCCTGACCATAACCGTTTCCCTGACCGCTTCCATGATCACTTCCCGGACCATGAAAGCTTCCATGACCATTTCCCAGACCCTGACCGCTTCCCTGACCATAACCACTTCCCTGACCCCGACCATGACCGCTTCCATAACCGCTTCCCTGACTATGACCGCTTCCCTGGCCATAACTGATTCCCTGACCCTGGCCATGACCGCTTCCCTGACCATAACCGCTCCCCTGACCATAACCGCTCCCCTGACCATAACCGCTCCCCTGACCGCTTCCCTGACCATAACCGCTTCCATGACCATAACCGCTTCCATGACCCTGACCATATCCACTTCCTTGACCGCTTCCCTGACCATATCCACTTCCATGACCATGACCGCTTCCCTGGCCATCACCGATTCCCTGGCCCCGACCGCTTCCACGACCGCTTCCCTGGCCATAACCGCTTCCCTGACCATCACCGATTCACTGACCCCGACCGCTTCCATGACCGCTTCCCTGGCCATAACCGCTTCCCTGACCATCACCGATTCACTGACCCCGACCGCTTCCATGACCGCTTCCCTGGCCATAACCGCTTCCCTGACCATCACCGATTCACTGACCCCGACCGCTTCCATGACCGCTTCCCTGGCCATAACCGCTTCCCTGACCATCACCGATTCACTGACCCCGACCGCTTCCATGACCGCTTCCCTGGCCATAACCGCTTCCCTGACCATCACCGATTCACTGACCCCGACCGCTTCCATGACCGCTTCCCTGGCCATAACCGCTTCCCTGACCATCACCGATTCCCTGACCCCGACCGCTTCCATGACCGCTTCCCTGGCCATTACCGCTTCCATGACCGCTTCCCTGGCCCCGACCGCTTCCCTGACCACTTCCCTGGCCATAACCGCTTCCCCGACCATCACCGATTCCCTGACCCCGACCGCTTCCATGACCACTTCCCTGGCCATTACCGCTTCCCTGACCGCTTCCATAACCACTTCCCTGACCCTGACCATAACCGCTTCCCTGACCGCTTCCATAACCACTTCCCTGACCCTGACCATAACCGCTTCCCTGACCGCTTCCATAACCACTTCCCTGACCCTGACCATAACCGCTTCCCTGACCGCTTCCATAACCACTTCCCTGACCCTGACCATAACCGCTTCCCTGACCGCTTCCATAACCACTTCCCTGACCCTGACCATAACCGCTTCCCTGACCATGACCCTGACCATGACCCTGACCGCTTCCCCGACTACCTCCCTGACCATGTGGTTCACTACATGCACAGACTCTTGTGGTTGGGCAACACCTCTGTGTGGCAGGACACAGTCCATCATGGAAACAGCTCTCAGCACACAGTGGAATGTTCTTCGGGTCAGGATACTGACCCGGCTTCACTGTATGGACACAGTCAGCTTTAGTTTATGCACATAGACTCACGCAGTATGCCACTTCAATATAAAGCATGAATAGCAATTTTTACCTACAGAGTGAATTATATTCTAAGTATCATTCCTCTTTATTTTGTAAAGCCATCCTGCGTTTAAAACTATCCTAAGGGATGAATTCAAACCTACTTTAGACGAGAATAACAAGACAATTTATCATCAACTAACCAAAACATCATAACACAAATACCTGTATATGGAGCAGTACAGTAACGTCCACATCCATTGCTGCAGCACTTCTTATTGTTGGGACAGTTAGAGTCACTCCTACAGGACCTGGTACACGATCTTCTTCCAGATGATTGGGGTGGACACTCTCCTGGCTTTGCTGTTATACAGACACATGACAGAAGGCATCACTGAATGCGGAACACTTCCATTCACTTAAGTTAGAAGTTTTACATAACATTTCGGTCTCTGCTTAGCTTTTTGGAGGACCCCCTATCATCCATTATTAACTGAAACTCACTGGAAACAGGCGGCACGCAAACAGGCCCACAGTCAAACTGACAGCATTTGTGTCCTCCAGAGCAGTTTCTATCAGAAGAACATCCTCGACGGGATGGCACGACCGTCAGCTTCACCGGACAGTAACCGTCCACTAGAGGATTCAAGAGGATCATTAGGGGAGGCCAGGGAGTGCAGTTTCAGCATTCACAAATCAGGGGTTTTGCAATGGGTCTCAAACCTTAATACAAATTTTACATATTTTTCTGCTCCAAATTAAAAGCACTTTAAAACCGACTACTCGTTACTAAACAGTGTTAATTACTTTCAAAGACTGAGAGTCACTTATTTCTGCATTGCTTCAGGCTGTGTAATGAAGTCAACAGATCTTCTCACCTGTGGTTCGAGTAGCGTCTGTTATGCTCAAGTATCCGAACAGACACGATAAAACAGCAATCAACAAGCAATACACTCGAGCTGTCATCCTCCAGTCCTGCGATTTCACAATGATCTCCGCTGGAAAATGCGCTAAATTGGTGCGTCATGAGGAGTGGACAGCAAAGCTCACAAAACTGAAACGAACAAACGTGTTGCTGCAATATCAACTGCTGTAATATGGGGTTTTAAAGATCCTAGGAGATCAGGTCAACGCCAACCCTGATCAAACTCACCTGCCTGTAGCTTTCTAGTAATCTGACTGGAAGGCCTTGATTATCTTGATCAGGTGTTTGATTGGGGTTGGATGAACTGAATGCTGGGTTCACGCCATGTCATAATAATTAAGGTCGCCTAATTACGAGATGATTGTGCATTTCTTTGGCGACACTATGAACTGCGAAATGAATCTGCAGTGGTCAGGTTGTGGTACCAATAGGTGTGTTCGATTTCATTCAGCGCTGTGCAGACCGAAGCAGTGCATGCCGGTTCTTCTTCTTCTTCTTCTTTTTAATTAACCAGAATAAAATATACAACAGTAATGCACAAGAGTGTACAAACCATTTATTCAGTAATCAACAACTGTATATTCGTGGAAAAGACCAGTCTTGTTTGCTTTTTTATGAACAATGTACTCCAAACTGGTGCAGTAGTCCTTAAAGCTGCATTCCATAACTTATTTTGGTTAAAAATTATCCGAAATCTATATTTGAACAAGTACATAACCAGCCAGTGTTCAAAATTATCACCTTACTTTAGCCCGTCACAAAGGTTAGCTTGTAATAATGTTTTCTAATTTGAGTGGTAAGGGTAGGTTTTCGCAGGAAATTCGAGCATGCTGCATAAGAACATAAAGAAGTTGTCCCGGCTACTAGGCTATCGCATGTGACTGAGGATCCTGCAGGTGGCCGATTGTTTATAGCCTTTTCTCACAGCAGCTAGAATAATTAAATGTATCAATTTGGTGGCGTATTGTAATCCATTTGAATGAAATTAAATTATATTCCAGTTTTAAATGTGCTTCTGATTACAGATAGCCTGGGATTACACAATATTTGTATTTTAAAGACAACCAGTTCGAAGGGAGCTTAATTTGCTTTTTGGGTTAAAATAATTTCTTAATATGATTCTTAATATGGTATGACAATTAGAGATTAGACTGTACAGAAATTGAAATCTACACACTATATTCATAGTCACGCAATGCTGATGTTGTAAACATTAATAATTTGAAAATAAAGTATAACAATAATAATTTGCACAGTTTGATGTGATATGAGCTAACCAATCTTTAGATTAAATCACCACTGGTAGCACAATTTATTTTAATGCTTTTTTCCTCAGTTGGTCAGAACAAACGTGGCAGACTTGTTACTTACTTGTTCAGATGACAATATACGGTGAAAATTCTTATTTGGGTCATGTATTCCAAGACGTAGGCTAGAATCTGTGAGTGCGAAGTACAGTAAATGTCCATAACGGTGCGGTGACTGACTGCCACACATACTCCTCAAAACATTAGATTCATCCGCGCTGGAGCTCTGCTGGAGCACAACCCACGCAAGGAAGATAATTCCACACACAGCTGCAATTGCAGCTTTTCAAATATGAGATGCGACAAATAGGCAAAACTTACGGACTGCAGCTTTAAGTCTCCTGAAGAAAATGGATTCAATTTGGCATGGACCCTGACCTTCTTCTTATATATGTGAAATTTTCCCAAAATAATAAAAAAAAAGATGTACAAGAAAAGTGAAGTTATCATTATTACTTTCATTGGAATAATATATACATATCAAAATTATTTAACTTGAATGTAACATTTGTTTTCCTTCTAATTACATTTTTAATATCCATCTAAAAATTCCTTGTGTAGACACAATTACAAAATAGATAGACATTGTCTAATATTTAATCTATTATATTGTCTAATAGACAATATAGACCAATTTCAGTGTTCAGTGTCAGCGGTGCAAACAGTGATGGCGTTTTTTGTGTGCGGAGCCTACAGGTGGCAGGAAATGCCAGTTTTAACGTAGCAGTCTATGCAAGCCATGGACTAAAAGAATTCTGACGTTAACTCCGCCAGCGTCTTGCAGCGCTCATTTTCACACCACGGGCTCTAAACATTCTTGCAAACTGTCTAAACTTAATTATACATACAGACACTCATATGAGGAGCTGTAAACATCAGATTAGTCATTTAGAGAACAAATGTTATGTTTGAAGATCCGGACTGTACCTCATAGCTGCGGCTACGGGCATGAATGTAAACAGCATATATCGCTAGTCTGCTGCCATTCTTAATTCGTGGCCACCAGGGGCGGTTTCTTGATTAGGGCGATTGAGTGACGCACCACCAAAGTGCGAAAAGGAGGGATATTTTTCTATCACAGCTAGGCAAAGCAAGGCAAGGCAAGTTTATTTATATAGCACATTTCGTACACAATGGTAATTCAAAGTGCTTGACATAAAATAAAGTAAAATAATGATTAAAAATAATCACAAAAATAAAACAAGGAATTTAAAAACTTTGAAAATGATTTAAAATTTGATTTAAATGAATTTAAGACTGTTAAAAATAGAAAATGATTATACATTGACTCGATCCTAATGATCTGAGTGGTCTGTTAGGTTTATATTCAGTGAGCATATATGCAATGTATTTAGGTCCTAGGCCATTGAATGATTTATAAACGAGTAAGAGTACTTTAAAATCAATCATAAATATAACTGGTAGCCAGTGTAAGGACCTAAGGACTGGTGTGATATGCTCAGATTTTCTGGTTCTAGTCAGAATTCTGGCAGCAGCGTTCTGGATGAGCTGCAGCTGTCTAATGGTCTTCTTGGGAAGGCCGGTGAGG